CTGGACCAGCAGGTGGTACATAGAGACCTGGACCAGCTGGTGGTACACAGAGACCTGGACCAGCAGGTGGTACATAGAGACCTGGACCAGCTGGTGGTACACAGAGACCTGGACCAGCAGGTGGTACATAGAGACCTGTACAAGCTGGAGGCACACAAAGACCTGAACCAGCTCGTGGTACACAGAGACCTGGACCAGCAGGTGGTACATAGAGACTGGACAAGCTGGTGGTACACAGAGACATGGAACAGCAGGTGGTACATAGAGACCTGGACCAGCAGGTGGTACATAGAGACCTGAACCAGCTCGTGGTACACAGAGACCTGGACCAGCAGGTGGTACATAGAGACCTGGACCAGCTGGTGGTACACTGAGACCTGGATCAGCTGGTGGTACACAGAGACATGGAACAGCAGGTGGTACATAGAGACCTGGACCAGCTGGTGGCACACAAAGACCTGGACCAGCTGGTGGTACACAGAAACCTGGACCAGCTGGTGGTACACTGAGACCTGAACCAGCTGTTGGTACAAAGAGACTTGGACCAGCTGGTGGTACACAGAGACCTGACCAGATGGTGGTACCAAGAGACTTGGGCCAGCTGGTGGTACACAGTTATCGGGACCAGCTGGTGGTACACAGAGACCTGGACCAGCTAGTGGCACACAAGACCTGGAAGACCTGGTGGTACACAGAGACCTGGACCAGCTGGTGGCACACAGAGACCTGAACCAGCTGTTGGTGGACAACACAGAGACCTGAACCAGCTGTTGGTACAAAGAGACCTGCACCAACTGGTGGTACAAAGAGACCTGGACCAGCTGGTGGCACAAAAAGACCTGGTCCAGCTGGTGGTACACAGAGACCTGAACCAGCGGCTGCTACACAGAAACATGGACCAGCTGCTGCTACACAGTTATCGGGACCAGCTGGGGGTACACAGAGACCTGGACCAGCTAGTGGCACACAAAGACCTGGAAGAGCTGGTGGTACACTGAGACCTGGACCAGCTGTTGGTACAAAGAGACCTGCACCAACTGGTGGTACAAATAGACCTGGACCAGCTGGTGGCACAAAAAGACCTGGTCCAGCTGGTGGTACACAGAGACCTGGACCAGCTGGTGGTACACTGAGACCAAGACCAGCTGGTGGTACAAAGAGACCTGGACCAGCTGGTGGTACACAGAGTCCTGGACCAGCTAGTGGTACACAGAGACCTGGACCAGCTGGAAGTACACAGAGACACGGACCTGCTGGTGGTACACAGAGACCTGGACCAGCTGGTGGTACACAGAAACCTGGACCAGCTGGTGGTACAAAGAGATCTGGCCCAGCTGGTGGTACAAAGAGATCTGGACCAGCTGGTAGTAAACAGAGACCTGGACCTGCGGGTGGTACACAGAAACCCGGACCAGATGGTGGTACAAAGAGATCTGGACCAGCTGGTGGTACACAGAGACCTGGACCAGCAGGTGGTACACAGAGACCTGGACCAGCTGGTGGTACACAGAGACCTGGACCAGCTGGTGGTACACAGACCTGCAATAGCTGGTGGTACAAAGAGATCTGGACCAGCTGGTGGTACACAGAGACCTGGACCAGCTGGTGGTACACAGAGACCTGGACCAGCTGGTGGTACACAGAGACCTGGACCAGCTGGTGGTACACAGAGACCTGGACAAGCTCGTGGTACACAGAGACCTGGACCAGCTAGTGGTACACAGAGACCTGGACAAGCTCGTGGTACACAGAGACCTGGACCAGCTCGTGATACACAGAGACTTGGACCAGCTGGTGGTACACAGAGACCTGGACCAGCTGGTGGTACACAGAGACGTGCAATAGCTGGGGGTACAAAGAGATGTGGACCATCTGGTGGTACAAAGAGATCTGGATCAGCTGGTGGAACAGACACCTGGACCAGCTGGTGGTACACAGAGACCTGCAACAACTGGTCGTGCACAGAGACCTGCAATAGCTGGTGGTACACAGATATCTGGACTAGCTGGTGGTACACAGAGACCTGTACCACCTGGTGGTACAAAGAGGCGTGCATTAGTTGGTGGTACAGAGAGACCTGGACCAGCTGGTGGTACACAGAGATCTGGACCAGTTGGTGGTACACAGAAAACTGGACCAGCTGGTGGTACGCAGAGACCTGTACCAGCTGGTGGTACACAGAGACCTTGACCAGCTAGTGGTTCACAGAGACCTGCTCCAGCTGGTGGTACACAGAGACCTGGACCAGCTGGTGGTATACAGAGACCTGGACAAGCTCGTGGTACAGAGAGACCTGGACCAGCTAGTGGTACATAGGTACCTGGACCAGCTGGTGGTACACAGACCTGCAATAGCTGGTGGTACAAAGAGATCTGGACCAGCTGGTGGTACACAAAGACCTGGACCAGCTGGTGGTAAAAAGAGATCTGGACCAGCTGGTGGTACAGAGATCTGGACCAGCTGGTGGTACACAGACCTGCAATAGCTGGTGGTACAAAGAGATCTGGACCAGCTGGTGGTACACAGACCTGCAATAGCTGGTGGTACAAAGAGATCTGGACCAGCTGGTGGTACACAAAGACCTGGACCAGCTGGTGGTACAGAGATCTGGACCAGTTGGTGGTACACAGAGGCGTGCAATAGCTGGTGGTACACAGAGACCTGCAACACCTAGTGGTACACAGAGACCTGCAACACCTGGTGGTACACAAAGACCTGCAATAGCTGGTGGTACACAGAGACCTGCAATAGCTGGTGGTACACAGAGACCTGCAACACCTGGTGGTACACAGAGACCTGCAATAGCTGGTGGTACACAGAGACCTGCAACACCTGGTGGTACACAGAGACCTGCAATAGCTGGTGGTACACAGAGACCTGCAATAGCTGGTGGTACACAGAGACCTGCAACACCTGGTGGTACACAGAGGTGGTACACAGAGACCTGCAACACCTGGTGGTACACAGAGACCTGCAACACCTGGTGGTACACAAAGACCTGCAATAGCTGGTGGTACACAGAGACCTGGACGAGCTGGTGGTACACAGAGACCTGGACCAGCTGGTGGTACAAAGAGACCTGGACCAGCTGGTGGTACATAGAGACCTGTACCAGCTGGTGGTACAAAGAGACCTGGACCAGCTGGTGGTACACAGAGACTTGGACCAGCTGGTGGTACAAAGAGACCTGGTCCAGCTAGTGATACACAGAGACCTACAATAGCTGGTGGTACAAAGAGATCTGGACCAGCTGGTGGAACACAGAGACCTAGACCAGCTGGTGGTACACAGAGACTTGCTACAGTGCGTGGTACACAGAGATCTGCAATAGCTGGTGGTACACATAGATTTGGACCAGCTGGTGGTACACAGAGACCTGCAATAGCTGGAGGCACACAGAGACCTGCAATAGTTGGTGATACACACAGAGACCTGGACCAGCTGGTGGTACACAGCCTGGATACACAGAGACCTGGACCAGCTGGTGGTACGCAGAGACCTGGACCAGCTGGTGGTACACAGAGACCTGGACGAGCTGGTGGTACACAGAAACCTGGACCAGCTGGTGGTACACTGAGACCTGGATCAGCTGGTGGTACAAAGAGACCTGGACCAGCTGGTGGTACACAGAGACCTGGACCAGCTGGTGGTACACTGAGACCTGGATCAGCTGGTGGTACAAAGAGACCTGGACCAGCTGGTGGTACACAGAGACCTGGACCAGCTGGTTGTACACAGAGACCTGGACCAGCTGGTGGCACACAGAGATCTGGACCAGCTGGTGGTGCACAGAGACCTGTACCAGCTGGTGGTACATAGAGACGTGTACCAGCTGGTGGTACACAGAGACCTGGACCATCTGGTGGTACAGAGAGCAATAATTACTCCCTCCTGGACAAAAACTCTTACACTGATATGTTATAATATTTGATGGAGCCGAACAAATCGACTTGAATTTTCTATGCTCAAGGAATTTACTGTATTTAAAATTAATTTTGATAATATTGGAATTACCAAATATCAGGAAAACCCATTAGAAGAAAGAATAAAATACCATTAATGAGTAAGAGTTTATGGGTTCCACGTTAGCAACCTTCATTGTTCTTCTTCTAGATCCACATACAATTGCTTGGTGTGATACTAATTCTAACAAGTTCGAAGTTATCATTGCACACTATCATTCGGTTGAAATAAAGTATAACTTTTTGCCTCAAATTCCCATATAAAGTTTTTTATCTAATCAAAATATTTTGCCAGTAATATATAATATGCTGGTGTTTTCATATGGAATCTCTAATAAGTAGTAATTCATGTTGAATATTTACTTCGATCGTTTCACTTAACGTTAAGAACGATGGTGGGATTATCTCATGAGAATGCATCGGCAGGCACATGTCCACATAAAGAAGCGAGATGGTTGCAGAATCCCCGAATGTCTACGTGAACCAAAGGGAATGTAACTAAGTGGTAACCATAATGAAGCAAGAGGAGGTGAGTGCAGACACAGAGTCAAGTGCAAGAGGAACAGGAACTGGCCAGCACAATCAAAGACTTGTTGAAGCAGCATCCATCATAATTATTCAGTGAATCAATTATAGATAAATGAAAGTGTATGATCAAGGAAAGTAAAGAAAGGAAAACTGGAAAGAATTATCTTTGAAAATATATTTGATGCATAGAAAGTAGCTGCCTGGGGGTGGGTTAAGGTGGTGCAAGATGGGAGTACCATAGAAAGAGGTAAAGGCTTAAGCAAAATTAGAAATGGCATGAGCGGGAAGACTTTTCCAAAGTTCATTCGTAAATCATTATTTATCGCTCAACTAATTCATTAAGCAAGGTTTCTACAACGAAGTAATAACTTGATATGAAGTCAACTCTATGAATAATCTTAAATAATCTAAACACAAACTAAATTTGTCATAAATGCATATCAAATGCAGAAACGTTCATACTATAGACTAATTTGACTAGCGCAATATGATAAGTTATTGATTCCTTACTTCCTTTAAATAGATCACCTATGATGCCTGCAGCTAGACATGGGAGCAATGAAAAGCATGTTACTGGGTACAAAGGTAGAAATACCTTTAAAATATATAAATAAAAAAAAAAAAAAAAAATATATATATATATATATATATATATATATATATATATATATATATATATATATATATATATATATATATATATATATATATATATATATATATATATATATATATATATATATATATATATATATATATATATATATATATAATTTGGATAGAGTTAGTAATAATTGCGCATACCACATATTGTCCTGTCACCATTAATGTAAGTGTTATCGTGTGGTGTTATCTTCATGTGGCAACAAATCATTTATCAATTCCTTTTTAAGTCACTGACATTGATCAAGGTAGTAAGTTAGCTACATTACGGCAATAACATTAATTCATATATTATACATATAATATATGGTAAATGACAGGTAATGACAACAATAGAATCAATTATGAAGGAGAGCCTGGTAAAAAATATGATTTAAGGAAGTACATTTTTAATGGGATGATACTCGAGTATATTATCTCACTGTTACTCTCACTTACGCTCAGAAGTCACAATAAACCCTCATGAACCGTAAACACACATGATCGCTTAATAATTACATTTACTTTAATTATTTTGTATGTATATTGTCATGTTTTTGACTAAGCTGAAAACAAAATGAATGATCGTATTATTATATTACTAAGACTACTAAATACTACACTACTACACAATATATATATATATATATATATATATATATATATATATATATATATATATATATATATATATATATATATATTACTACTACATGTATCTATCTATATATATTACCTGGGCGATTCTTCTGGAGACCAAAGAGACTGGTGAGTCCGCTGAGAGCAGAGGAGGCGGTCGAGGAGTGTTGCTGGTGGGGGTTCTGCTGTTGCACGTTCTGCGGCTGTTGTTGTCTGCCTAGGGGACTGTGCAGGATACTGGTCAAACCTTTCATGTCTTTGCCACCCAATGTGTTCTGCATTTGGTTCATTTGGTTCATCTGACCCACATGGTTCATTTGGTTGGCTTGGTTAGACATGCGTGACGCAATGGATGCTGGAAGGTTTGGATTTGTTTGTGCTGTCATCCCTGGCTGTACATGGTTGCCCATTTGTGTCATATGTGGACTCCCAGTGTTGTTCTGAGTCTGCATATCCTTACCCATTTGTCCGGAAATCTGATTAACCTGCATGGGATTTCCTTGAATCTTGTTTTGTAAGTTATTTGCTTGTAACTGGTTGTCGTGTAAACTGTTGGTCTGCATGTGTGTTTCCTGCTGAGCACCTAACTGATGATTCATGTACGGGTTGTTTTGAGACTGTATGCTATTTTGAAGAGGATTCTGTATATTTTGGTCGTGCATTTGGTTCATTTGTGTGTTAGTCTGGCTATTCATCGAGGTATTTATATGGCTATTCATCTGGGAACTTAGTGCTGTAGTTTGGGATGTCACTTGGCCGTGGAGCCTAGCCATTTGGTCCTGTGCAGTAGTCATTGAAGTGGCTCCCGTCATGCTACTGGTTCCTGTTAACATTCCCATGCTAGAGCTGACATTGGACATTGTTCCGCCTTGCTGTTGCTGTTGCTGCTGCTGTTGCTGCTGCTGTTGGAGGTGCTGCTGCTGAACAGTTTGAGGTTGTGTAGTTTGGTGTTGCATCGACTGCTGCTGAGAAGTGTGTATGTCTTGCTGGCCGAGTGTTGACTGCCCAAGACTTTTGTGGATGTCGGTCTGAGCTCCAGACTGCAGACCAGGCTGTATAGGAGACTGCTGAGTTGAAGACTGCAGTTCGCCCATACCAGGCAGTTTGACTCCACCGACGGGAATGCGTCCGCCAGCGGTAACAGGTGGGCCTTGAGTAGTACTGGTAGGAGCTCCTATGGTAGTTGGTCCCCGTGTGTCCTGTCCATCTGCTGGCCCCCTCATCAAACCTGAACCATGAATGTGGCCCTCCAGGGACACCTGGGGCCGCAGCTGTCCTCTTCGTGCGTCCAATCCGCCTGGAATCGGGCCCAATCCCATAGCCGCCCCTGTAGAGTCACCAGCACACGCTACGTCAACACCACAAATACATGACTACACCACTACTTCCTTACCCTGAAGTACCCACACAGAATTCCTACGACAACTAGTATAAAACACTATCAGAATTTTAATACTAAATCCACTTAATGATCTATGCTTAGGTAGTCTATCAACAGATATAACATCTTCTTTGCTATAAGTTTTGACTAACTTTGAGGCGAGAAAATTCAATCTTTCTTCGTTTGATGTAGATGAATCCTCTAACATTAAGTAATAAGCAGTTAAACTTCTGATTATTTGGGATTGATTGGAATTACGTTTCTTTTCTATCATTGCTCAACTTTTTCACTTGACGTCACCTACATATCGCCGAGGAAAGTTCTGTATATATAGAAATGAAGAAAATGGTGTATAAGTAACTGTTGCATTAATTAAGTAGTGTAGCGCCATTACGCAGTATGTGGGCAGTTTTGTGGGACATCTTTAAGATCAGACAGAGCTCTGTAAGAACAATAAAACCTTCTCTCATGGCTCGCGGGTAACTATTCTGTATTTTTATGTTTAGATCTAAATAAATAGTTTAATAGTTTGCTTCTACAGATACTTCAAATTTTCATTGTTTTCACGTCTCATTATTGTTAAAGGGTAAGACGCCACGACAGATTCTGGAGTTGTAACTTCCACGTTTTTTTTATATATTGCATAAACTGTATACGTAATAAACTGGTTTTCCTTATACGCAAGCAGTTGAAAGATCACTGAGGAAAAACAGCTAGATATAAACCTGTTATCAAAACATTTCTTCCCTTATTCTTCAAAATACTGAACATGGACTTATTACAGCCATCAATACAAGTGTCAAATTCATAAAGCTGACGTAGAGATGTCCACATAAAAAAAAATGCTCGTCTTGGCTTTTAATGGCTTGGTATCATACCGTGGAGGTGTTCTGTCAAATTTCCTGACCAAGTTGAAGTGTTCACCCGTTTATATTAGTCACTAAACCACGCGATGTGTAAACGTAACACTTGATATTACCTGATGGATAACCTGCAATGTATCGCGAGACACCTTATAGAGGCATATGTAACACATATTATGAATAAGCCAAATTATATACAATATTTGTTTGTTTTTTAACCTTAATAAAAAAAATATGACAAATATGAGGAAATTAGGTTGCCGGTGTTATTACACGAGCCCCAATATACCTAAAACAATCATAGTGGCCAAAAAGATACATCCACCTAATACTCTCACTCAACTTGGCTACAGTACGCGATCCTGTCCTGCTTCGACTACTCTATCATAATTAAATAAAGACGATAAAATGATGGTGGACTGTAAGAAGACTCTCGATGGCAAAACATGGTCAGGGATGGTTGTTGTCGCACAGTGAATTTTATCAGTAGGCACTGTTGACGTAAACTGAATAATCCATGTTTGAACAAATAATGTGGCTACTGATTAAGAAACTGAGACTTCAAAAACGTAAAACGTAATACGTTAATTTCCAACCAAATATTCGTCAAACACCTGTACAGTACAGTATTCATCCCCGGCAGCTTTTTCAGTACATGGAGGGTAATCCTTCTTAGGAGCCTTAAAAAGCATCTGACATTTTTGCAAAATAGGCATACAAAATAATTTATGGAATTTAGGTAATACTATATGGGGTGGAGGATTTTTTCCAGGCTTGAGAGATAAACTGAGGCGCATTTTGGGGGAATTCCGAGACAATTTTCAGGTACCAGGAAAAATTCTGGGAATGGGGGGATTTTTCTGGGTTTGACAAATGATGTAATGCACAATTTCCGGAAATTCCAAGAACATTTTCCCAGTACCAGGAAAATTCCAGGGATTTTTTTTCCTGGGTTTGAGAGATAAAATCAGGCGCAATTTCCAGAAATTCTGAGATAATTTTCTCGGTTTCCAGGAAAATTCTGGGGATGGGGGATTTTTTCCAAGTTTGAGAGAGTCGTCTCATTATATAGAAATCTCTCATTCCTGTAAGTGATCTGCATCAATTGTACGGCTAATGGAGATATCAATATATATATATATATATATATTCTGCCCACCATAATAGAGTCAAACAGTCAGTATTTTCAACAATGTTTTTACGTGCTTTGAGAATTTGCAGTCCAGAATTCATTGATGAGGAATATATATATATCTGTAATATTGGCTCAAACCTTAAATACCCTAGCTCTTTCATAGACAATATATATATATATATATATATATATATATATATATATATATATATATATATATATATATATATATATATATATATATATATATATATATATATATATATATATATATATATATATATATATATATATATATATATATATATATATATATATATATATGATGATCTGATGAACACACATTAGTAGGTTTCCTATAAATACTGAACTTAAAAGTGTTACCTATTCTGTGTATCAGACAGTCTAGGAATGGCAATTTACAGTCTTGCTCTAATTCCACAGTGAATTTGATCGAGGGGGCTAAGTTGTTAAGTTGTGGCAGGAAAGCTTTTAGGTCCTCATTACATGGCCAGAGACATAATACATCATCAACATATCTAAACCAGACTGCTGAAGGTGGTAAAATATTACTTAATAGTTTCTTTTCAAAGAATTCCATATATAGGTTGCTTAATACAGGTGAGAGTGGATTACCCATTGCCATACCAAACTCTCACCTGTATATATATATATATATATATATATATATATATATATATATATATATATATATATATATATATATATATATATATATATATATATATATATATATATATATATATATATATACAGGTATATATATATATATATTTATATATTTATTTATATTCAACTTAATTATCTATTGGTTGAAAGAAACGTTGACTTAGTCACATCAGTAAAACTAAGTTGACTTTGTTGACAAACTGTGACACGCAAATATCAACATAACGAGTGTGTTAACGGCGGCCTGGTAACACTCGGTAATAGTTTCAAGATTTATTTTGCTCACGTAAAATTAAACTTTATCATTGAATATAAACATTATTTTTTCTTGGTCATTATTTTCCCTTTCGTCTTGTTCTAACAAATATCAGGAAATATTTAAAATTATTATGTTTTCTTCAAAGTCTAAGCATTTTGTCAAAATATGAAATGTCATAAATAGTACTGTATTTTATACCTCTCAAACCAAATAATTCGTGAAGTTTATTTGAATTGGCCATAGTGAGAGACGAAAGGTGTCCTAATGGTGTCCAGGGGTAAAGTAATCGCAGGATCTGTTTATTCAATTCTCATCGGATAGATTGAGTTATAACAACGCCCGTCTACGACAGTATATCTCACAGTACAAGCGACAGGTAATGGAAAATGAACGAAATAGAAAAGGAAATTAAAATATGAATGGCTGTAATGGAAATTAAGTAACGTAAAGATGAATTAATTACAGGAGCATAGCAAATTATTATTAAGGTGAACTTGCATGTAAAAGTAATTTTAAACTAAAAGCACAGTGAAGAGCAACAAAAAACGAAATAAATAATTAAAAGTGAATGGATAACTAATGTTCACAGATACATGCTGGACAAGAGGCTATTTGAAGAGGGAGGGACCAGCTGTGTGTGTGGATCACTTGTCACATGCACATAAAAACAGGATTTTTTTATGTTGTGGGAATTTATTCGCTACTTTCGTGCCTTTTAATCCCTTAAGATCTGGGTTAGATATCACTAAAAAAAATTGGCTTCCTGATCATTCAAGATCCATCCCATTCGTGTATCTCCATGGGCCTAAAACCTAACTTAGAAGATCATGTGAAATAGAACGGGTGTGTTTCCCTATTTCTAACCGAGACCCTTCAATAGGTAGCTCAGGGTAATACCGTAGTGGGTGTGTGTATTACACTCAATCAATCAGAGTACCGTCCTCATATCTGAGGGTTAGCAACCACAGTCCTCCATTCTAAGCGTTCTCGTGATGTTTTTACCAATCATCTAAAGTTTTGTATCTCTCTGTGGACCCAGATTTTAATTTCATTCTTCCCTCGCAGTCTCTGCCTTCCCCTGGCCCTCCTACCCTCACCTTTGTCCATTAATATTTCTGTTATTATCTCCTCATCTCTTATTATAATACCAAAGTATCTCATTTTTATTTTTCTATACATTTCATGTATTTCTCTTGAAGTTTTTGATGAATTTAGTACTTCTTCATTTGTTTTTCTGTCAGTGTAGCTTATTCTTAGCATTCGCCTATAACACCACATTTCAAAAGCTTCCAACCTCTTTCTGCTGTTCGCTGCGAGTGTCCACGCTTCTGACTCCTACATCAGTCCTTGCTATATAAAGCCTTCCAGCAGCCCATTTCTCAAATTGAAGTTAATGTTCCTTTTCGTTAGGTCTTTTAGATTAGTAAATGGTGTTTTTCCTTTCCCTGTTCTTATTTTGATTTCTTCCGTACATCTACCATCACAACTAATGTTACTTCCCAAATACACAAAAATTTCCACTTATTTAAGTTCCCTGTTGCCTACCGGAATTTCTATTGGAGGTATTATTTATAAATTGAAAACAACCACAAATTTAGACTTTATCACTGATCTGTTAACGAATTTTCGTAATGCCTCTTCACTATATGTGATAAGAGCAGTATCATCTGCATAGCATTTATGTTATATTGTTTTACCATTAACTGTTAGTTTATCATTATCACTTACAACTTCTCTAATTAAGAATTCTGAATATATATTATACGATGCTGGGGATAGAACACAGCCTGGCCTTACTCCCTGTCTAATTGTGAAGCAACTAGTAATTTCATTATTTACCAACACTGTAGCTTCCAGTTGCCAGTAAAGACTTTAAAATTCTAATATCTCCTTCATTAATACCAATCTTTTTTTCCAAGATCTCTATAAGTTTAATGTGCTTCACCTTGTCAAAAACTTTTTTTCAAAATAAACAAAGATGCATAAATTTCTTAGGACC